TTTTTGGGTGTAGGATAAAAAATACACTTATATGGAACCTACCAAACATAAATAGACCAGAAGCATTGGAGGAAACGCACTGTCCATGACCCCACGAAACGATTCCTAAAGCAAGCCTCAGATCCACATCTGCGCCTGAGCCCTCCAGGCAGAAAGCAGAATAGGAACTACACAGACACACAGACACACACACACACACACACACACACACACACACACACACACACACACATCATAAAGAACAATCCAGGAAACTCCTAGAGAGTCAAAAAGATCAGACAGAATCCTGTGCTTCTGGACTTTGAGTTGGATACAAAACCTGACTGAATAGGATCATGGAATTTTTCCTTAAACAGAATACATAGAAGCATTTTCTGCCCACCAAAGAGAACTCTCTCTGTTTAGGGTTTCTCTTTTCATAGGTTCAAAGAGAGCCCCAGTCCCAGCTTCTCTCTAGGCCGTGCGACTGGACCGAAATGTACAAGCCCCGAGCCATCCCCCAGAGAGCACTACGTGCTGGAGTGAGAGCAGGATAAGGAGTCAGCTCTGTCCACACAGGCAGTGTGGGGATGCTCCTGGGGATACTGGAACCTGGGTACCTTGCATGAAATAGCCGCCTTCCCGTCTGGACCAGCCTTTAGCCTACTTCTTAGGAGGGGTGTGGAATGTTCGGTCAGTTGGTTGAGAATCCCATGGTCTGGCCCTGGTACAGGACAGAACAGACATGCGTGCTTCTTGTCAGCTACTTAGCATTGGTCCGTATGTACTATGTGGCTTGTGAACATATTATGAATATCCAAATGTCCCTTGACAGAAAAGAAAACACCCACTTTAGAGGAAACAAACTTCTTTCATTGAGCTTATATATTTCTGGTTTCTTCATACAGCTTAGCCTTTATCTCAGTAATATATAAACTATCAATAAATTTTGACTACTGAACTGTTAATTCAAATAAACTCGAGGAAGCAACATTTGTTAAGTACACAGATGACATCCATTTCCTACTCACTTTTCAAAAAAGATTACGTTATAATATCTGTAATACTGGTTTTCCAATCTTAAATCTTAATTTTATGATTTGCTTTGAAGATAAAGGCTCAAACATCTATGTAGTCAAACCTACAAAATTTTTCTTTATTATGTAATATTGTTTCATGATCCTAGAAACTGAACCAAGGGAATCACAAATCACAAAATCACTCTAACACTGAACTACGACCCTGGACCCCTTTCATTGTTTTTATGCTTGAGATAAAAAAACAATCCTTTTAGAATAAAAGATTCATTTTCTTGGGTACTACAGAGATAGTGCAGTGGGTAGAATACTTGCCTTGTATACAATTGACCCAGAACCCCATGTCCACATGGTCCCCTGAGGACCACCAAGAGTCTTTCTGAGGCACAGAGTCAGGGGTGCCCTTGAGTACTGTGGATAGTATGGGAGGCCCAGAAGAAAAGTTGACAAAAATGAATAAGCATTTTAATGTTGAAGTTAAAGTTAAGCTTCTGTTGAAATTTGTTCTTAAAAGAAGCATGGATGCTTAAAAAGCTGGATAGTAAGAAAAATCAAGAATGTATCAAAAATAATGAAACTTCCTTGCTTAAAAAATTTTAAAAACCTTCATTCAGAAACATAGGAGATGAAGACTAGCCTTTCACAGGAACCAAATGAGGTTTTTCCATCTTCCTTTTAAAATATGGAAAGCCTGTATTCTTTATCTTGTAGAATGATAAATTGAAAAATTTAATTTACTTTGAAAATGAAAAGGTCCTGTTCCAAATGGAAGACATTGCTTTTCCTAAAATCTACTCCTGCTGTGCCCTGTGAACGAAACCAATTTCCTTGTCTCTAGGTGAACTTCTATGGTCCTGCCTCCCACCCTTCTCTCCATTCACTTCTGCGCCTGTGCTATCCTTTCCTTTCCCACAACTCCCCAGGGCAGGGGCTCCATGCTCACTCTCCCTTCCTCCCAGTATCCCATCCAAAATATAAGCAGAGTTTGATCACTTCTCATCATATCCACTGCCATCACTTTGACCCACGCCAGTTTCCTAGCCCAGGAGAAGCTGAGGTCCCCGGAGTAGGCATGAGCTCCCCACTCCCATCCCCGCCACCAACCCCATTACTCTCCTTCAGGACCATCAACCTCCTCTCTTCCCCTGCGGTCCCACCCTTGGCTCTGGCCACACCAGCCTCCCTGGCTCACACCTTTCTCCCCCACCCTTCACACTTGCTGTTCTCTGTCGAGAAACTTAACCTCCAAACAGCGTATCATCTCTTTGTTCATTGGGATTTTTATACCCCAAAACTAGCTTCCCAGGATGCTTTGGCCCTTCATTTACAAATTGTTTCCATACCTTTTCATTCACTATTGTTTCCGTACCTTTCAAATCTTTCTTTTCTATTTTACTCCTTTGTTTTTGGGTAACACCTGGCGGTGCACAGGGCTTATTCCTGACTCTGAGCTCAGGGATCACTCCTGGCGGGCTCAGATGACCCGTGGGGTGCCAGGGGTGACACCTGGGTGAGTGGTGTGCAAGGCAAGCACCCCACTCGCTGTACTATTGCTCTGCCTCCTCATTTATTTTCCATAATACACACCATATAGATATATGCCATATATACACATATATACATATACTTTTTTTTTTAATAAAGTTTTTTGCCAATGTTCTCAACTGGAATAAAACAACTCTACAAGGCAGGGATTGGTCCACTGTGTTCTCTGCATGCCCAGGAAAGAGATAAATACACAGTAGGAGCTCAGTGAATTTTGTTAAATAAATGAATCAACACGTGAAAGAAAGATTCTAGTTTGGAGTCTAACTGTCTCTTTCCTCTTTCCGGCCCTCCTGCCAGTAGTCTCCACCTTCTGTAATGAATCCCACATACCAGCAGCTTCTTTAACATAGGTCTGACCCTATTATTGTCCTAATTATCATTGTATGACCACCGAGACTTAAACTGGAAAGCTTTGTGGCTGTTCTCAAGGTGATTCAATAAATTGAAAAAAAAAAAAGAATTAATGTGTAGGGGCGAGAGACATAGTACGTAGGGGTGAGTAAATCAGCAGGGCACTTGTCATACCCCATATGATTCTCCCCTTGCCCCGCCTCCCGACCCAGCAACTCCAGGAATAATTCCTGAGTGCAGAGCCAGGAGTAACCCCTGAGCACTGCTGGGGGTGGTGCCAAAATAAAACAAAAAAATAAAGAAAACCACTGTCACTGTCACTTCTGTTACTCCCGTTGTTCATCAATTTGTTCAAGCGGGCACCAGTAACGTCTCACAACAAATTGTGAGACTTGTTACTGTTTTGGCATATCGAATATATCACGGGGAGCTTGCCAGGCTCTGCCGTGCAGGCTGGATACTCTCTGCACGGCATAGATACTATACTAGCTTGCTGGGCTCTCCGAGAGGCACGGAGGAATCGAACCCGGTTCGGCTGCGTGCAAGGCAAACGCCCTACCCGCTGTGCTATCGTTCTAGCCCAACAATGAAAAAATTAAAATGTTTCCCAACACTCTGATAAGGAATATACAATTTTACAGGATAGCAACAAGATTGCTTACACAAACAGAAGAGATAGTATAGGGAGTAAGGTTCTTGAGTTGCATGTAGCTGACATCAGTTCAAATCTCTGGCACTGTATATGGTCCCTTGGGTATGGCCAGTGGTCACAGAAGCAGGAACAGCCTCTGAGTACTATCAGATATGGCCCATGCTGTCCTACAACCCCTCCTCCCACAAAACTTACTTAATCTCCTCTTCTAAACTCACCCCTTTATATCCCATCCCTATGTATTCTTTTTTTTTCTTAAATTTTGGGTTATACCCAGGTGATGCTTAGGGGTTCCTCCTGGTTCTGCATGCAGGCATCATTCCTGGCAGTGCTCAAGGGATGATATGGAATGCCGGGGATCGAACCTGGGCTGATTGCATAAGAGGCAAGCCCTACCCACTGTAAATTGCTTCAGCCCCACTAGGCATTCTTCTCTAGACCAACGTCTCCCAAACTCGAGCATTTGCAGACCCTATATTAATGAAAACACTCCTAGCTTTCTGGAGGTTGCGGGTGGAGAGGAACTATACCCAGCAGTGTGGGGAGTATCCTGCCAGGGGTGCCGGGAGCCAGGCAGCGTCAGGATTGAACCCAGGGCTCCGGCATGAGCTCCAGCCTTTGGAGTTACCCCGAAAGCCTGGACAAGCATTTCCTTAAAGGCTCTCAGGGCCACATCCAAGTGGCCCACTTTGACAAGCGCTGTTTCAAGAAATTGATCTTAACTGGTCAGTCAAAATTATAGATTATTATTGGTAAATCATTTTTATAGCTAAAGGTTACAGGTAAGTTATGGGTTATTATTGGTTATATAAATTATCACTAGTAAATAGTATTGTCATTGGACAGAAAATAAAAATTTTAAATGTTCAGTATCTGGTGTCTCCTCTAACTAGATCCATGGACACTCGTAGCAGAAATGCTACAGGTTTGCATGTGAACCGCTAATCCATCCCGGGGGGCCTGTGCCTCTCGGCCTTCACTCTTGTTCTGAAATATCTGGAATATCCTCCTGATCTAGTTAGCAAAATTCTCCTCTTCCTCAACTGCCTTGCTGAACAACCATAGCATACATGAATACTTCTTTTTGATACCATTGCCCAAAAATCCTCTCAGCGACATTTTATATATCTTGTAGGGATTAACTACATTATTACCCCCTAAATTATTCTGTTATTTTCCTGTGTCATTACAGATCCTGGAAAGCATGAAGATTAACTCATTCTCCTTTTAATATGTAGGAAATAGTATCTTCCATATTACAGCTAAGAAATGTCCACTGGATTAATCATCAAGCAGGGGGGGAAATGTTGCTAAAATAACATCTCAAGTTTAAAAATGTAACTGTTTACTAAAAAGTTCATAATTAGATGCATGTAATGTACTTATAATAAAAAAGTTTTGGGGAAAAAACTAAAGTTTTTTCTAGAGTTTACCTTCTTTTGAGTGTCAAGTCTGAAATGGGTATGCATCTCAGGCCGGTCCCCAGGACCATGAGGAAGGACGTCAGAAGCACTGTGACCCGAAGACCTGGAAGGAAACAGAATCATTAGCGTCATTTACTATCCTCTTCTAGTAAGTCCAAAGCCAAGAGCAAAGAGTTTCTTAATCATACCGATATTATTTTCTAGAAGTCTAGTTTTTCTCTTTAACTACCAAGATGGGAAAAAAATATCTTTTTTTTCTTTTTCTTTTAAATTTTTAAAAAATTTTTATTAGTGATGGTGAATGAGACCAGTTGTAGTTACTGGTAGTAACTACAACTGTAGTTTTATTAGTGAGACACCATGAGGTAAAGTTGTAGACTAACAGACTTTCATGGTTGGGTTTCAGTTATACAATGATCAAATACCCATCCCTCCACCAGTGCCCATTTCCCACCACCACGGATCCCAGTATCCCTCCCATCCCCCATCTCCCCCATCCCACCCTGCCTCTGTGGCAGGGCATTCCCTTTTGTTCTCTCTCTCCTTTTGGGCGTTGTGGTTTGCAAAAGAGGTAATGGGTAGCAATCATGTTTGGTCTATAGTCTACTTTCAGCATGCTTCTCCCATCCTGGGAGGATCCTCCCAACACCCTTTATTTGGTGCTCCCTTTTCTATCTGAGCTGCATTTTCCCCTAGCATGTGTGGCTGGCCTCCAAGCCATGGAACAAAATTGCTGGTACTAATCTCGGCCATTCTTGGGTGTTAGTTTCCTATTTTGTTGCTTAATGTTCCCCAGATGAATGCAATCTTTCTATGTCTATCCCTCTCTTTCTGAGTCATTTTGCTTAACATGATACTGGGAAAAAAATCTTACATGCTGAAAATGATTTTTCAAACTTCAATATAAAACCAAAACAAGGAGAGAGGAAGAAGTACTGTTAACTCCAGGTTTTCAAAATGAATGTTTAGGATGTTTAGTCACTAAAAATAGAGAAAATAAATTTTAAAGACTAAATATTTTAGGATTTCTTAATCTCGAATATAAAGTTTTAATTTTCAAATTCAAACTAATAAAAGCTAAAAATTTTTTTTTTTAGATTTACAATTTTTTGTGCTTGGGTTTCGATTATACAATGATCAGATACCCATCCCTCCACCAGTGCCCATTTTCCACCACCATGGATAATATCCCCCCACCCCCATCCCCCCATCCCCCCCGTCTCTGTGGCAGGGCAATCCCCTGTGTTCTCTCTCTCCTTTTGGGTGTTGTGGTCTGCAAAAGAGGCATTGAGTGGCAAACATGTTCAGTCCATAGTCTACTTTCGACATGCATCTCCCCTCCTGGGAGGATCCTCCAAACATCCTTTATTTGGTGCTCCCTTCTCTATCCGAACTGCCCTTTCCTCTAGGATACCCGGCTGGCCTCTAAGTTATGGAGTAATCCTCCTGGTGCTGATCTCAGCTATTCTTGGGTATTAATCTCATACTTTGTTACTTTATATCCCCCAGATGAATGCAATCTTTCTATGTCTATCCCTCTCTTTCTGACTCATTTCGCTTAGCATGATACTTTCCATATTGTACCACTTGTATGTAAATTTCATGACTTCATCTTTTCTAACAGCTACATAGTACTCCATTGTGTAGATGTACCAAAGTTTCTTTAACCAGTCATCTGTTCTTGGGCATTCAGGTTTCTTCCAGTTTCTGGCTATTGTAAAGAGTGCTGCAATGAACAAACAAGTGCAGATGTCACTTCGACTATACATTTTTGCCTCTCTGGGATATATTCCCAGGAGTGGTATTGCTGGGTCAAATGGGAGCTCAATTTCTAATTTTTTGAGAATCGTCCATACTGTTTTCCAGAAGGGCTGAACCAGTGGACATTCCCACCAACAGTGAAGGAGTGTCCCTTTCTCGCCACATCCACGCCAGCATCGGTTGCTTTTGTTCTTTTGAATGTGGGCCAGTCTCTGAGGTGTGAGATGGTATCTCATTGTGGTTTTGATCTGCATCTCCCTGATGATTAATGATGTAGAGCATTTTCTCATGTGCTTTTTTGCCATTCGGATTTCTTCTTTGAGAAAGTTTCTGTTCATTTCATTGCCCCATTTTTGGATGGGGTTGGATGTTTTCTTCTTGTGGAGTTTAACCAGTATTTTGTATATCCTGGATATCAACCCCTTGTCAGATGTGTATTCGGTGAATATCCTTTCCCATTCTGTAGACTGTCTTTGTATTTTGGTCACTGTTTCTTTGGAGGTGCAGAAGCTTCTTAGTTTAAGATAGTCCCATTTATCTATCTCTGTTTTCACTTGCTCGGCCAGTGGCGTGGCATCTTTGAAGATACCATTAAAAGCTAAAATTTTTAATGATAAAAGATTATAGTCTTGAATTTGACAAAATTCATATAACTGGTCAGTTACATATTTCATTTTATTATCAGGACAAGCTAATGCTGTCTGAGGGTGATCCTAAAACCTCTTTCAAAACCCTTAGTTACTGATAATGAACTTTTTATATTTCTTTGTGGGGCAGAGGTGGAAGCCTTGGCCAAGCTTGGGGGTGTTCATGACTCACTCCATGCTCTGTGCATGCTCAGAATCATTCCTGGTAGGGCTCATCGAACTGTATACAACTGAACTAGCATTAGTCATATACAGGGTAAACGATTAATTCCTACAACTACCTCTTTGTAAACTCTTTATATTTCTTGATTATTTACTAAACGATTTTCAACTTATAGAATTATGGTATTTAAATAAACAAAAATGACATAGAACTTTAGAAGATAAAATGGACAGGAAATCTTTCTTTCTGCATCCCAAATGTCTGTTATTTTGAAAATGTGCACCAATTGTCTTTCCTATGGATAACTGGACAAAACAGAATATAAAAACATTAAAAATAAGGTAGCCTAAAACAGACACCACATTCCTCAGTGGCAGAGTAATGCAATGGGAGTCTGTTGAGATGCTGCCCTTGTGCTGTGTTGTATTAATACCACTTTACCTTGCTGGCAGCCATTGTACATACGTGACACTGAACATATGGCAAAAATGGTAGCATTTCTTAAATTTTCTCCCCAATCCAACCTTCTTAAAACCATTCACAGTGGCAGACTTAAACTGTTTATTACAAATGAAAATGTGTCTGTCAGACTATTTTTGGTAGAAGGATGAAATATTTATAATGTCTAGTTTTCAGGGTGCTTCTTTACTTGATGGAAATTAAATATCAACAAAAGCACAATGACAGAGATTAAATATAGCAAGAAAAATAAACTTGAGATACACATGATATATCAAGGATGATCTGTGATATACATCAAGTTAACTTTATAATATCCTTATATAGCCTGAATTTGATAGGTACACTTTTACAGAAGGCAGACCACAGAAAACATAAAAGTAAAGGTAAAGGCCCTCCCGTTGATCATCGATTTGCTTGAGCAGGCCCAGTAACGTCTCCATTGGAGACTTTGTTGTTACTGTGTCTGGCATATCGAATACGTCACGGGGAGCTTGCCAGGCTCTGCCATGTGGGCGAGATACTCTCGGTAGCTTGCCCGGCTCTCTGAGAGGGGCGGAGGAATCGAACTCGGGTCGGCCATGTTGGCTGTGTGCACAGAAAGCATACCTCTTAGAAATAAATAACACACACATGCTACTCATACTGCTTCTAATAACAGACCAAATTTAAGACCATATTATAACCAAGGGAAATAGAGTATAATCAATAAATAGTACTATCATGATCACAAATATCCTATCCCTGCAAAATGTTTCTCTTATACAGTTACACTGTTAGTCAAAATGGTAGCAACTAGAATTTTATAGATTTCTTATATCAGCACTATACTACTATATGATATCTGATTTTTCTTTTAATATTTGCTTTGTGACTATGGTAAACAACCAACAACCAAGCAATGGAACATTTTTTATGGCAGTATGATACAAATAACCAAGTTTCCTATTGTTAATACTGAAGGCTAGAACAGTTCTACCCAATTGTATCTTTTCCCGTTTTTAAATAAAGAAAAGTAGAACAGCTATATAATCTTGAAGAACAAAGAAGTTGTGAAGAAAAGCTGATTGTTAAAGCAAGCTCACAGGAGCAGTCTGTGGTTGTTTTGCTTAATTTTAACTTCTTCCAAGTATTCCTTAATCCTTCTTAGTTAATTCTCACTTTTTAAGGGAATACTTTCTTTTCCTTCAAATCTTGACAAAGCTGGGTTCTTTAAATGTGAGCTATCAAGAAGACATCAACTGACTTTTAGAAGAAGATGAATGAAGACCCCAAGGGGGAAAAATGGCTTGTGAGATCTCAGACCTAGTAAAAACAGCAGTAGGATATGAGTGAAGAAAAGATCTGGTAAGAGACATCAGGACTATTTTTGGAAAACCAAATATAATTGAAAAGAAAAACAGATTAAGTTGAAATATCACATCCAAATACTGCAGAAAGTTTCCCTCCATATGTATAGAAATTCATTGTACATATGCATGGCATCTCTATAAAAATTCAGGATGCAAAGGCTGGGTAAAAAGAAAAATCAAAACCAATCATGCATACATACACATTCACAGTAGATGCCCAGAAAATCAATAAGGACCACAGAGTTCAACCCTCAGACTGATTTTCCTAGTTTCCAGCGGCACACAACTACAAAGTAGTTTGCGTGCCTTTGGTGTGTGTGTGTGTGGAGAGGGGGGTCAAGGGAGGGGGGCGGGCCGTATGGTGTGGGGATACCCAGAGATGCTCAGGGGTTACTCCTAACTCTGCACTCAGGAATCACTTCTGGCAGTGCTAAGGGGACCATATGGGATGTCATGGTCAGCTGGGTCAGGTCAAGGGAAACGCCCTCCCTGCTGTACTATTGCTCCTGGCCCCATTTGCTTGCTTCTACTGAGAGCCGTCAGTCTCCCCATTCCCAAGCATCACAGACCCACACCCTAATTGCTGACCCTCAGGAGTAATTACATCATGCCCTTTGTCCCCTATTTAGACAGAGGTTTACAAGGATTCAGGATTAACAGGTCACCTTTTTTTGCCAATATGACCTCCTGCATTCCCCATGCTGATATCATCTTTAACACC